ACACGTTAGTAAATTTAAATAATTTGGTAAAAAAAAATTAATGTATTACCTTTATTATGTCCACACAAATATTTATATTCATTTATTCAAATATTACTAACATACGGTTTATTTAATTTTTCTTACTTAAAATTTCTCCTGTGTTTACTATTTACTAGTAATCAACCTGTGCATTTGCACATAGAAGAATACTTTAAAAAGATAACAATATAAAAAAGAATAAAAATAAATTTCATGAAAAAAAAAAATATGAACTCAAAAAATATTTCTAAAAATTGATTTTGATCAAGAAATTGCTATGGAAGAGCCGTTACAATCATTTTCTTTATGCTAATACACCCGGCCATTTTCATGAGTGGGTGTGACTTAAAATTTGAGTACAATTTTGTAACTTCCTTGATTGGTTTATGCTCATAATTTATGGCATTCAAGCAAGTTATTTTGTAACTTAAAAATGAAATTGAATGTTGAAAATTTTGGAGGGAGAATAAAATTTAATGCATGATAATATAATTTAATGCTTTGTTGCTCTTCTTTATACATTTGCACAGAGAAGAATACTTTAAAAAGATAACAATATCAATAAAAACAAAAATAAATTATAATTTAATTCATGAAAAAAAATATGAATTAAAAAAATAATTCTCAGAATTGATTTTGATCAAGTAATTGCTATGGAAGAGCCGTTAAAATAATTTTCTTTATGCTACTACACCCGGTCATTTTCATGAGTGGGTGTGACTTAAAATTTGAGTAAAATTTTATAACTTCCTTGATTGGTTTATGCTCATAATTTATGGCATTCAAGCAAGTTATTTTGTAACTTAAAAATAAAATTGAATGTTGAAAATTTTGGAGGGAGAATAAAATTTAATGCATGATAATATAATTTAATGCTTTGTTGCTCCTCTTTATATATACTAGTATTCGATCCTGTGCATTTGCACAGATGTAAATGAAGTATTATAAGTTATTTGTATGTATATAATATTAAAATTATAAGTTAGATAATGATATTATATTTTAAACATGGGGTATTATAAGTTATATTTATGCATATAATATTAAAATTATAAGTTAGATAATGATATTATATTTTAAACATAGGGTATTATAAGTTATATTTATGCATATAATATTAAAATTATAAGTTAAATAAAGGTATTATATTTTAAAATTTGATAATTGGTTAAAATAAATAGTACATAACGATTTGATTGCATATGAATCACTATATTGATTGCATAAAATAAAATAAATAATGTATTTTTTGAAATTTTAAGGGACTATGACTAATTAATTAGCTAAAAAATATTAAATTTATTATAATAATTGCTTATGCGATTTTAAGAAATTTTACTATGCCATTAAAAAAAAATTAATTTATTTAAGAACTAATCGCTTAAGCAGATAAAGAAATATTATATTAATTTTATAATAAGTTACTCGAACAAAAAGTTTTTACAATATAGTTTCTTATGTTTATGTAACTTTCACATATCATTTAGTGTAAATATAATTATTAATTGTAATAATAACTATTATATGATATAATTTCCAGAGCTGGTGAATTTATTTTGCATTGTTGTTAGTGTATTTGTCCATGTTGTGCATGTGTTGCATTTTTCATTTTCATCATGATTAATTATTGTAGTGATATCATAAAAAACAATAGATATTCCAAACAAACATTTATAAAAAGTTCTTCTAAAAATTTATATTCTGAATACATGCTTATGTAATCATGAGTTTCTATAATAAATAATTCATGATTAAGTTAGCGTAGTAATGATTATATAAGAAATTAAAAAAGTAAATATTTTTAGCTAATTAACCTAAATTGATATACATAGATAAAATAGTGGTCATTAGTTTAGATTTTGTAACTGTCCAAAATTGATGTATTTTGTAAAAGTAACAGTTTTTGTATTTGGAATGTTTGTATTATTTATTAGGTAAAATTTATTAAGTTTTATTTATGAGGTAAAATTAAATGAAAGGCTAGCAATTATATATATACTAGTATTCGATCCTGTGCATTTGCACAGATGTAAATAATATATTATAAGTTATTTGTATGCATATAATATTAAAATTATAAGTTAGATAATGATATTATATTTTAAACATAGGTATTATAAGTTATATTTATGCATATAATATTAAAATTATAAGTTAGATAAAGGTCTTATATTTTAAAACTTTGATCATTCGTTAAAATAAATAATACATAACGATTTTATTGTATATGAATAACTATATTAATTGCATAAAATAAAATAAATAATATATTTTTTGAAATTTTAAGGGACTATGACTAATTGATTAGCTAAAAAATATTAAATTTATTATAACAATTGCTTATGGGATTTTAAGGAATTTTACTATGCCATTAGAAAAATTAATTAATTTAAAAAATAATCGCTTAAGCAGATAAAGAAATATTATATTGATTTTATAATAAATTACTCGAACAAAAAGTTTTTACAATATATTTTGTTATGTTTATGTAAATTTCACATATCATTTAGTGTAAAATATAATTATTAACTGTAATAATAACTATTATATGATACAATTTCCAGAGGTGGTGAAATTATTTTGTATTGTTGTTAGCATGTTGTACATATGCTGTATTTTCCAGAGGTGGTGAAATTATTTGTCAATGTTGTACATATGCTGTATTTTCCATTTTCACCATGATTAATTATTGTAGTGATATCATCAAAAACAATAGATATTCCAAATAAACATTTATAAAAAAAAATTTAAAATTTATATTCTGAATATATGCTTATGTAATCATGAGTTTCTATAATAAATAATTCGTAATTAAGTTAGCATAGTACTGATTATATAAGAAATTAAAAAAGTAAGCATTTTTAGCTAATTAACCTAAATTGATATACTTAGATAAAATAGTGGTCATTAGTTTAGATTTTGTAACTGTCCAAAATTGATGTATTTTGTAAAAGTAACGGTTTTTATATTTGGAAATTTTGTATTATTTATTAGGTAAAATTTATTAGGTTTTATTTATGAAGTAAAATTAAATAAAAGGCTAGCAATTATATATATATAGATAGATATATAGATATAGATTTATATTACAAAACATGAAATAATTAAATTCTACGTTTCACTCAAAAGTCGAAACCATCATTGATCCTCTTGTGGGCTAATGGTAGTATTACACAGTCATCATCATCAGTTAAACGATAATTATTAATTTCAGTCCCGAAAATGGGAAAGTCTGGGTGTTACACCGGTGAACCAATATTTTCAAACTCATCCCTCTTGCGGTTTGAGTGACTGATTAAATATAAGTTTGTTTGGATTTGATTGAATTTATTAGATAAAATGAGTTATTTTCTATTTTTTAGATTAATTTTATTTTATTTTAGTGAGATTTTAAGTTTGTATTTAAATAATATTTAAAATATAATAATAAAGTTGATGTGAAAGTTACGGATAGTTCAAGATGAATAGTGAATAGTATTGGGTTGAGTAAAAATTTAGTTGAATTTTAAGTTAAAAAAATTATATCGTTAGTCATACCGAATATTCTATATCCAATCAATCCCACAGTCTCGTGTAACTAAGTCAATTGTTGAACATGATAACTAAATTTTAAAATTTTTAAAATAAATATATACATAATAATAACATAAATAAATAAATTATGATATTTATCTTATAAAATAAATATAACATAAATAAATTACTTTCATTTAATTGAATTTAATAATATTTTATCATCTTAAATATTTACCCAATAAATATAAACATATATTTTAATTTTAAAATATAAAAATATCTTAAAAAATATATAAATTGTTGTGTTAAACCGAATTGACCAAAAAAAAAAAATTCCCTTCTCTAAGGGCTCCATTCCTCCTTGATCGAGACTTCCATTCCTCCTCGATCGAGTCTTTATTCTTCCTTTCTGATTCTTAGTCTTCTGAATTTAAATCTAATCTCTCGCTTTTCAGCTGATCCATTATTACTTCTTTGCCATGTTTTCCCAAGAGTTAGGGATAGTGATTTTAAATTTCTTAGCGCTGATGGAGTCACCTCCTCATAATCCCGTGAACATCGTAGGGGCTGCGGATGAACTCGAAGAAAAACTAAAAAGAATAGCTCTCTCCGCTTCAGAGAAGAACCCAATTGAACTGGGGGACGCGGACGTTAAAGTTAGTGCAGAAGAATGCTCCCGTAGCTTATTCGGGAAGATCATTGGTGATAGGAAAGCGAGTCTAGTGGGACTCAGACGCACCGTGAACACGATATGGCAAATCCAGTACCAGGTGGAAGTTAGAGAACTGAACACAAATTTTTTTCAATTCCTTTTTGGTGACAGTGAAGATAAGAAAAAAGTCCTGGGAGGTGTAAACTGGATATTTGATAATCAATTCCTGATATTAAAGGAGTGGGAGGAAGGAATATCCTCCTCTAGCCCCTGTTTCTCCTCGCTTAACATTTGGGTACAGGTGAAGAACTTACCTTTCCATTGGCTCAGTACGGAGGTGGGCCTAAAGATAGGTAACATGTTCAAAAAAACGCTGAAAGTATCAATTGTCAAAGCTGGTGGATCGAGAGGTACCTTCCTAAGGCTTCTGGTGACAGTGGATGTAAATGACCCGCTACCTCGCTGCGCAAATATGAAACTGAACAACCAGCAAGCTCTGGCAACCTTCCACTATGAGAAATTGGTCAGTTTTTGTTACTACTGCGGGAGATTAGGCCATTTGGATAGAAATTGCACAATTAAAAGTTCGGACATGGAAAAGAGGACTCTAAATGAGGGTCAGTATGGCGAGTGGATGAAAGCTTTGGAGGGAAGATACGGCTCCTCCAGCCAATCAACCAATTACCTAGCTAGCCAACAATTTGAGTCACCTCCTCCATCTCCCCAGCAGCCTAGCTTCCACTCGAAAAAAGTCAGTAATTTGGCTCCATCTGGAATTTCATCTAAATCACACAAATCAGCAGGCCTTATTATGGAGAAAGTAGCTCTGGAAATTGAAACAGATCTCATAATGGACCAGCCAGGCACTGTGGACCTGCCTAATAAACTTAGCCTAGATGACCTCATGCATTCAGCAAGCCCACAGGAAAATGATTCAATCCCTAATGACAAACAAGATCATCAAGCCCCACCCTTTGACAACACAATCATGGACAGCCAAGCCAGTCCTAACATTAAAACCACAGCCAATACTATTATCCAACTCCCCTCTGAGCAGAGAGCACTAAAACAGAAAGGATGGAGAAGAATTCCTAACCAAGAAGAGAGACTGTTCAAATCCGCAGGGAAAATGGAACAACCCTCTCAATCCCAATCCAAAAAGAGAGCTCTCCAAGACACTGAGGACACCATCACACATCAAGAATGCCAAGATGAGGGTGATCCTAACACTAAGAAGCAGAAAATCCAAAATGAAAAGGTGGAGGTGGCCAGCCTTAAGTGGGCCCAACCTCATCAATGAGCATTATCCTGTGGAACTGTAGAGGTCTGGGGGGACCCTCTACAGTTGCCCAACTTAAGGAGTCTACAAGACTCCACCCTCCAAGTTTTGTCTTTTTATCTGAAACCAAAAAGAAAAATGATTTTATTAAGACTGTTTGTAAAAAAATTGGGTTTTCGGATAGGTGGGCTGCAGTAGAGCCTCAGGGTATGAGTGGAGGTATCCTTCTTTTATGGAGTAAAGAAATTGTTATTTTGCAGATGCACTCTAATAATTTTTGTTTTGAAGTTCAAGCTCTCTGTCCAGGTGATCTGGAGCCTAGTTGGTACACATTTGTGTATGCTAGCACTTCAAAGCAGGTTAGGGAAGACCAGTGGCAATATCTGGAGCAAGCTAAAAGAAAATGGGGAGACATTTGGATACTGGGAGGAGACTGGAATGAGATACTCCACAACACAGAAAAAGGGGTGGCAGACAAAAATCCCAACAAGAGCTTGAAGGATTCCAAACCTTTGTTGCAAATATGGGGATGCTGGACATTGATATGGTGGGGCATGAATTCACCTGGGAAAATTGCAGGGAGCAGGACCACTACATTGAGGAGAAGATCGATAGAGTTTTTGGATCCTATGAGTGGCTAGCCAAACACCAGGAGGCCATTGTTGTGAACAAATTCAGGAGCTCCTCTGACCATCATCTCCTGACTCTGCTGAAATCAGGGTTGCTAAAAAATACTAGGAAAAAGAGATTCTTTTTCGACAAACGCTGGATAAAAGTAGAGGGTGTAGCAGATGTTATTAAGGCAACTTGGGGGATAAAGCAGAATGGAACGCCCTTATTCCAGATATCTGAAAAAATTAAGCAAACCAGAATTGCCCTTCTGAAGTGGAGTAGCAAGTTCCAGACAGACAACTCTATACTTAAAACCAAACTCTCCGAGGACCTGGAAAAGATGAGATCTCAAGGAGAGCTAAGGGACTGGTCTGATTGGTTTTACACTAAAAAAGCCCTCCAGACTGAACTTAAGAGAGAAGAAGCATACTGGAGCCAAAAATCAAGATCAAAGTGGCTTCAGGAAGGGGACTCAAATACCAAATATTTCCATGCGGCCACTATGCAAAGGAGGAAGTCAAACACTATCTCAAGACTTCAAAATTCTGAGGGGAATGTGCTAGAAACCAAAGAGGAGATTGAGGCTTATCTGGAGGAATTCTATAGCAAGATTTATACTTCAGAAGGATCCAGTGGTGAAGCTGAAATACTTAACCTCTTGCCCACTGCTATCTCAGAGGATTTAAACAGTGATCTAATAGCTCCAATCTCAGAGGAGGAAATCAGGGAAGCATTATTTAGCATGGAACCACACAAGGCACCTGGCCAGGACGGAATGTCACCTCTCTTTTTTCAGCAATATTGGAGAATTATTAAATCTGATCTGCTTGCTGCCATTTTGAGCTTTTTTGACTCCTGCCAACTCTTCAGAAACTGGAATCACACAGTGATTACTCTAGTACCTAAATGTCAAAATCCTCACTCCCTTGGCCAATACAGACCCATCAGTCTTTGTGGAGTCTCTTACAAGATCATATCAAAAATCATCTCCAATAGATTGAAGCACTGCCTCGACCATGGCATAAGCCATAATCAATCAGCCTTCATAAAGGGGAGACATTTGCTAGATAATGTGATTGTGGCTCATGAAGCTATTCATTTCTTAAATAGACACAGAAGTGGGAGGAAATGCTTTATGGATGTAAAACTCGATATGGAAAAAGCATTCGATAGAGTTGTATGGGGTTGTATCCAAAAAATCCTAACTAAAATGGGGTTTCATAAAACATTTGTCAGATGGGTTATGGCATGTATCTCTTCTCCCTGTTACTTTTAATCTTAATGGTGAGCTGACTGGTTTTGTCCAAGCATCTAGAGGGCTAAGGCAGGGGGACTCTTTATCCCCCTACCTCTTTATTATCATGTCTGAGGTTTTTTCCAGGTTGCTGAAAGCTGAAGAAGACAGGGGTTCTTTCTCTGGGCTTAAAATATCAAGGCAGGGGCCTACATTTACTCACCTGCTGTTTGCAGACGATTCCATGGTCTTCACCACTGCCTCTCAAAGCCAAGCTCAGGTTCTTCTAAATGTTCTTAACAAGTATCAAAGGTTCACAAGACAGAAAGTTAACCTGCTCAAATCCTCAATCTTTTTCAGCAAGAACACACCCATTATACTACAAGCTGAAGTCTGTCAGGTCTTAAATGGGATTAGCAGGCACAACTCCTCCAGGTACCTTGGTCTTCCTCTTGGAATTGGCCAATCTAAAAAAGAGTGTTTTAATTATGTTGTGGAGGCAGTGAGATCAAGACTTGTGAGCTGGAAGAATAGATTTCTATCTGATGCTGGTAAGGAAGTGCTTCTTAAAGCTGTAATTAATGCTCTTCCTATCTTCACCATGTCCTGCTTCTTACTTCCAAAAGGCACATGTCATGAGATTTCAAGACTCAGTGCTAGATTCTGGTGGAGTAAAGGAGACGACCAAAGAGCTGGGTTACACTGGAAGTCATGGAAAACTGTTACTATACCTAAACAGGAAGGAGGACTTGGCTTCCAAGATATTAACCTTTTTAGCTTTGGAGAATGGTTACAACTCCCAACCTTCTTGTCAGTAAGATCCTCAAGGGGAGGTACTTTGCCCAAGAATCCATCTTTCAAGTTGCTCAGTCAAAGAATTCAAGCTCTTCTTGGTTATGGCAAACATGGATGAAGGTTCTGTGTAAGCATAAATCAGCTTTCAGAAGAGACATAAAAAATGGGGCTTCTACTAGAATCTGGTATGATCCTTGGGTTCCTCAATCTATCAGTGGCATCCCTCAGTTAAAAGCAGGAGTGAACTGTAATCTGACCTGGGTAAATGAGCTTTTTGAGGAGAATGGAGGGGGTTGGAACACTAGGCTGCTACAGGAATTGTTCATTCAAGAAGATGTCAATGTAATCGAAGGCATTTCAGCCCTGTGCCCTGACCAACCAGACAGGTGGAAGTGAAACTACAACAAAAAAGGACTTTTCACTGTGGCTAGCACTTACTCTCATTTAATCCAGCAAAAACTTAGGGAGCTTGACCTTGCTGAAGGGAGCTCTGGTTCTGATCTTGACAGGATGACTAGAAGAAGGAGCTCGGGTCTCAAAGTTAAAAAGAAGCTTAGACATTTCATATGGAAGTGCTATAATAACACTCTCCCTGTATGCACTAATCTAAAAAGAAGAGGGCTTGATATTGATATAATATGCCAGTCATGTGGTGAAATGCCTGAATCAGTCGAGCATGTCTTTTTCTCTTGCAGCAAGGCCAAGCTAGTCTGGAAGTTGGCTCCCATTTCATGGGATGGAATATCAGAAGAGGAGGATAATTTTAAGTGTTGGTGGAGAAAAGTTTGCACAGTGAGTAAGAAAGAGATATCTGAAGATAGGATCCAGTTGTCCACCTACATTCTTTGGTGGCTCTGGAAATCCAGAAATCTCTGGAAATTCCAAAGCTCCTGGCTCCCTGAAACAGAGGTGGTCAAAGAAGCTATGTCAGAATGGATGCAGTACACCTCTGCTGCTCAAAAGGTGATACATTGACTCTGCAGATTTGGCTCCAGGTCTCCTTTGGAGTTCAGTGGTCCTAACTCTGTATTGTCTTACATTATTTTGCTATTGATAGTCCAGTTGATAGTTTTCATGTTCTATGTCTGTATCCAAGGGCTCAAGGTTCTCTTGCCTTAGGAGTACTAACTGTAGGTTGTTCATTGTACTTTTGCTTTGTATTTAGGCCACAGTGTAGAAGTGGTTCTCTGGATTTGTATTGGGGTTCCTTAACCCCTCGGACTGTACTTTATTTGGGTGATGAATACAATATCTATCGTTTCGGAAAAAAAAATATAATAATAAAAAAATAAAAAAAAAACCGAATTGACACCTGGAGTTTGACCAATGCAAGTGACCTACCTGAACTTAGTATAACTCTGAATTGACTAGGTTAAGTAAGTCCGGGTCAAGAAAAACTACCAAGGACGAGTAGGGTAAAATTTAATAAGGAAATGTTTCGTTATGCAATTAATTGCAGTATTATAAAATCGAATCGAATCTCTAGGTGGACCCGAAGTCAGACTCAGTATGGTGAGGTTCTTTGGACCAGCCAAACAATCAAACCCAGTTCAGCTTACCCGGTCGACCCGACATTGACCTGGCCAGCTTAACCCAGTTTAAATTTAAAAAAAAAAAAATTATTTATTTTTTAGGACTTTACGTGTTCGGCTATATTATTATTAAAAGTTTGCTGTATTACATATAAAATTGTTTACTTTTATAAATTTTATGTATGTTTATAAAATAAAAATAGTATGTATCATTTAAAAATTTTAAAACTACTTACACGATTCAGAAACGGTGACCCTACCCTGATGACCGATCTCTTCCTGGCTCCGGAGGTGGTCGCCGACCCGCCTCATTTTTCTTCCAACCTCAAGAGCCTCCAGGTTCGCTGGAGCTTTGGTCTCGGGCCTTCAGTTCTACATTCATGGAGGGGCGTCTGCTCGGCTGCATCCCTCCGACATTTCTTGGTGGCTCCCTCCCTTCGGTGTTGAAGTCCTTCAGATCTAGATTGAGGCTTGACTCCTTCTCAGATCCGTCTAGGCGGTTCGATTTCGGCCGCAGTTTTGGGTTGTGTTCAGCTGCCCGATAGAATTAGGCGAGGTCTTATCTTTATTATTTGTTTATTAGGTGTGAGTTGCTTTTGGTTTTTATTTTGTTGTTTTATTTCGTTTTAGTGCAGTTGTGTCTGCTTTCGTTTAGTGCAGCTGTCTCTGCTTTTCATTTAGTGCAACTGTGTCTGCTTTTCTCTCCTATATGGAGTTAGTGTCTTTTTGTATTTTTTTATTTTTATTTTTGAGTTTTGTTTTGTGGTTGTTCGCCTCCTTGATGGAGTTTGTACCTCTTGTGTGTGTTGACAAGGGGAGTTGGTCCAGTCTTCTAGTTCTAGTGTGTCACTTGACACTTCAGAAGTTATTAATATAATTGCCGTTTGGAAAAATAGTTTGATGACCGAGACGGGTTTTACAAGATTAATTAATTGAATTAAAGCAAATCTAATTTGGTGAATTGCTTTTGAACGGTCTTCTGTTTTCCACGCAAATCTCATCCATGAAGATTTGTAACGACTCAAAGCCATTGGTGACAAGCTTATGAAAAACTTAGATTAAATAAATTGAAGTAGATATATTTTCTGCAACATGTGGCATGCCCATTAGGGATTCATGCTGTTACATCCCTAATCCCTTGCTCCGTTTCCTGCACAAATAGAGGGCTCCATTGGAGATGATTTTTCTCCAACCATGAAGTTTCCACAAATAGAGGGCTCCATTGGAGATGATTTTTCTCCAACCATGAAGTTTCCACTTGCTATAGAGGATGGGTTGGAGATGCTCTAACCATGTAGCTCAAAAGGTGTAACTGCTTATGATATCAATGACATAATTCATATATAGTCTACAGTTGTAGTCTCAACACTTCTCCAAAAGCAATATTATTTTTACACAAATATTATTGTTATATGGCGAGACAGACATACATTATTAAAAAAAATTCTGAACTCGTATTAGGAAATGATACATTTTTTTATATTATATTTTAAAGTATGATGTTAAGTGTGAAAGAGTTTGTATTTGATGGAACAGTTTATAAAGTTCTTATAGTTAGATAGTCTAACATAAAACGTACATATATTGTTATTTTCATAATTTGTTTGGGATATCCAATGTTACTTAGATTTTAATTTTTTTTTACCCCCTTTAGATAGGACCATGAACATACTAAAATAGACTGATCCAAATTGGTCTTTCAGTCCAATTCGATTCCATGAATGTAAATAAAATGAAGCATATTTTTTAGAAACAAAATGTAGTGACGGGATGTAATATAAAAATTAGAACTAGTGATAAGTAGCATATAGTTACCCGAAAAACAAAATAAAAGTATCACAATTAAGAAATTAAGGAGGATGTATTCATAGGAATTTCAAATAAATTTTGAGATTTTATAAAATTCTCAAATTTAGGAGGAATCCTATGAAATATTATGAGGTATATTGGTTTGGGAATTCGAGTGATATTTTGTGGCTTTTTGAGATTTTCATATTTAGAAGTCCTGTGAAATTTTAATAAGTCTCGAGGTGAGATTTGAAGTAAGATTTCATATATAGTTTTTTCTTTTGAAATTCAATTAAATCTTAAAAAATTTTAACAAATTCTATTTATCAAATAAATTAAAGGGTGTATTCGTCTGGGGTTTCGAGTGAAATTTTAAGATTTTTTGAGATTTGAGACTTTTACAATCTTCATATTTTGAGGAATCTTGTGAGTTTTTAATTCTGTGGGTGGAATTTTGAATGAGATTTTGTATATGTTTTTTCCTTTAGAAATCCTAGCAAATCTAAAAAGTCTTAACAAACCCTAGTCTCAAATAAGTTAAATATCTCATAATTTTTGTAAGTTTTTTTAAAATCCCAAATGAATATACCTCAAGATTTTTAAAAGTCAAATTCAAATTTACCATGATTTCTGAAAACTTAAAAAGTATTAAGAAATCCCAAACTAATACATTCAAATAAATATCTCAGAATGTTGTAAGACAATTTGAAATCTCAAATTAATACTTTTTAAAAGTCTTAAAAAATTTAAATTAAATACACTATGAAGTAATATCTTTAGAAATACCAAACAAGTACACCCATGGATTTCGTATATGATTTTTTCTTTTGAAATCACAACAAATCTTAAAAAGATGTAACAAATCCTAGTCATAAGTTAAATCCTCAAAATTTTATAAGATTTTAAAATTTCAAATTATTACCTTTGATATTTTTAAAAGTCCTAAAAAAATCTAAATCTAAATTAAATACATCAAAATTTTTGAATTATTAAAATATCTTTACAAATCCCAAACGAACACATCCTAATTTTCTGTATAAATTATAGCAAAACAAGGAATGTATATTCAACGCCCCACCAATATTTTTCACATGAGGAT